CGCGGCCGCAGGGGGCCGCTGCGCTCGTCGGGGGGATTTCGGCTGGTGTTCTCGGAAAATCATCGACTTCCTCGTTGCCTGCTGTCGGATCAAGCGATTGATGAGATAGGGGTGAGTGATATCGTTAGGGGGTGCGACCGACTCTGAGAGCCCGGCTGCTGCCTTTGCCCGCAAGCATGCGCTTCGAGAGGAGGCCATGCGAGCCGTGATGTCCATGGGCATCAAGGACCGCGTGGCTGCGGCCTCCAAGGCCCGTCGCCACGTGGATTCTGTTTTTCCTCCCGGGAGCTGGGTGTACGTGGAGGCGCTCTCAGGGGCCGGCCCGTGATGACCTGGCTGGAATTGGCAAGGGCCGTTGGGCTGGTCGGGGGGCCGTGGTCTTTCAGCAGGGTGCTGCGATATGGGTGGCGACGAGATCGCATCTGCTGAAGTGCGGGCAGGAACGAGTTCGATGGGCTTCCCGAGAGGGGTCCTGGGGGGCTGAATTTATTGAACTCGCCAAGTTTCCAGCAGTTTCGCAGGGGCCTCCGTGATCCCGGGAAGCGCGCGGGGGCCGTGTACGTTGAAGGCGAGGGCCCTCTTCTGCCCGAGGCGGGGGACATGGCGGAACCCCTGGGGTCTCTCGGCGAGGCGCTGGCGGACCTGATGGGGGCTCCTCCTAGGGGGGGCCCCCCGACCACGTCGCCGATCCACCCGACTCCCGGGATCGCGGCGGTGCCCGAACTAGCCCCGCAGCGCGAGCCCTTTGCAGTCAGGCCGGGGACCGAGGAGGCCTGGACGGCGCGGCCGATTTCAATGAACTCGGGTTCCGTTCGCTCTCCTCCCCCCTATCTCCTCTCTGCGCTCCCTCTCCAGAGGTCTCTCGACAAGTGTCAGGCGCTCCAGCTCCGGCTGGCGCCGTTCAGGCGAGCGCGTCTGACAGAGAGCCAGGGCCTCCAAATTTCCAGCGTCCCCGTCTCGACCCGCCGATCGAGGCGATCTCGCCGGCATTTCGGACCCCCTGCGGGGGAACTTGGAGACCTGTCCGAGGGCCGTGTTAGGGCCATGGCTCGAGAGATCGATGGGCAGGTCATCCGTCGGCGTTCTCTGCGGGGGGATGTCCCTCTGTGCATTCGCCAAGCCAGAAGCTCGACCGCGCCGTGCAACTCAGGTGCTGCAGCGAGCGCCGACGAGAGCCAGGCTCGCCGGGTGGTCTCGCGCTCCCGAAGCTCCTCGAGGGCTCTGCTTCGGGGGGGGTTCCCGTGCGAGGGCGCGATCGGGCCATAGTCTCGGCGCCGCCGAGCGGGCGGTGCGAGGGGCTGGTCGCGAGGGGGCCCCTCCAGACCAGAGGCCAGACCCGAGGTTCCTGGGTGCCTGGCAGCAGGGCCTCGGCGCGAGCTCTGAAGCGGAGGCAGATGATGCCGAGGCCGAAGAGGGGCGCTGGGAGGAGTTGTCGTCTGGGGCCGCCCCCCGAGTCGAAGGGGGGCTGAAGTCTCGTCGAGGAATCTCGCGCGCGCTGGGCGTGGGCTTTCTGTCTTCGCTGATGCTGGATAATTGAAGGCCATTCTTGGCCCCGGCGCGGTCAGGGTCGCGCCGGCCCCCGAGGCCGCCCTGATTCGTAAGCGTCTTCCTGGTAGAGTAGTGGGCTCGAGGATGGTGCGTAGATTCAAGCCCCGGGAGGGCCTCGGTTCCGAAGCGATTGCGATGTCTCGCTGGCGTGTGCAGGGTGATCATGATCCCGACAGCGACAAGCCACGCGTATATTATCCCCCTCCAGCAGAATCAATGATGCTGACGCTTCGGGCCACCTGCTCTTTCGGCTGGGAGCTCGAGGCGGCGGGCGCGAGGAGCGCATCTCGCCGCGCAAATCGTTCAGCTAGGCCTCGCGGCCAAATGTTCTGCGAACTTGATCCCGGGTGATCCGAGCGAGCTCATCTCCCTGGTGTGCGGCCTGGGCGATGCTCCGCTTGTGGCGTCGCGCGCTCGCCGAGTGGCCAGTCGGCGACGGCGTCGAGAAACCGCTGCTGGAGCCGCGCTCGTGGGCGGAGCCTTCGTCTCGGGGGGGCCGAGGGCCGTGGTTCTGATTGGGTTTGGGCGACCTTATCGTTTCGGCTGATCCGGGGGAAAAGACAGGACTGCGCGAGAGGCTTCAGAAAGAGGTTTCAACTCGGGAAGTGGAAGTCCGGGGATGTCGAATTTGCCCGGGAGCATCTAGAACACGTCGGAGGTCGCATCCTAGTTGGCCAGGAGAAATACGCGATCGAACAGCCGGCTCCAATGACTTGCAAAGGGGCGCGCGGGCCCGCGTGCTCTGCTCACACGGAAGGAAGTGATGCGCTGCCGCGCGATGGTGGCGTAGACTCAACGGCCCGCGAGAGAGACGAGGCCCGACGTGGCTGGAGGGGCGTCTTTGCAGGGCGCGGCTCTGCCAAACCCGGCCGTGGCTGATGCTGTGCTGTGCTCGGAGGTCGTGAGGCATGTCAAAGGCAGCGCCGGTCAGAGAATCACTGTGGCCCCTGGATCCCGCGTCGGTTACCTTCGCGACCGCGCCTGATGCCGGAGGTCCCGGGTCGGCCCGACGAAGCGGCGCTCAGGGGGGATGGCTGGTGCTGGCCGCGGGGGCCTCCATCCGCCAGAACGTGCGCGGTCGCGCGTCGCTGCTGTCGTGGCGCTCCGCCAGTTTCAAGAGTGGTCGCCTCCACCGGACCTGCTGAGACGTTGGGTCTCTCTGCCGCCCTTGCAGAGGCTCAATGGCCTGCCATCATGTGGCCGTATTCGCTGTTTCGTGACGTGCAGTGACCAGACTGGCGCCTGTCTCAGTCTCACTTTTTCAGTGGTGCTATCCAGAGATTGCGCCGTCGGAGACAGCGTGAGTTCCCAGTCGGTGGTTTACGCCGAGTCAATATATGAAACGTTGTCCAATAATCGTGCCGGGTCCCGAGCGGACCGAAGAAACTCGATCGAGTTAGCGATGGTCCGAGATGGCCTCCCCGCCGTGGGCCCCCAGGTTCGGTGGCTTCCGCGCGGAAGGATGGACGCGGATAGGCTCGCCAAAACGGATCCAGGCCGTGGCGACGTTGCGTTGTGTGATCTGCTTTTGAAAGGCGCGAGGATCTTGATCGATGAAGACGGACATATGTGACATATGACAGAAAGAGGCCTTAACATTGATCTTAAGTCCCTCACCCGCCGCGCCGCGCGCCAGGTGTTGAGGCCGTGCCAGGCGGAGGGGCTCGGGCGGGGGTTGCGGTGGTCACCCTATGGCGAATCCATTGAAAGTAGCCCCGTTGTGGTGTTCTCTCTCCCCCTCTCCTCTCTCTTTGGATTCGTGCAGAGTCTGTCCGCAGCCCTTTTCGGCTTGAAGAGCTGCCCGTCGGCAGCCGACACTTCATCGGGATTTCCTCAGGCCCATGCTGTAAAACGCGTCGCCCTTCCCCCTGTCCCTTCTGGATTCCTGCCTGGCGACTCATCTGACAAAGGCATGGTTGTGGATCTTTGTGTAAAGCCAGGGTGGGGTCCTTCGGATCCAGCATCGGTGGCCTGGCGGCGTGGCCCGTGGTCTCCCGCGTGGTCTCTTGCGTGGTCGCTTGCGCGGTCTCCCCTGTGGTCTCTCGTAGGGCCTCCCGCGTGGTGTCCCGTGCGGTCTCCAGTATGGTCTCCAGTATGCTCTCCCTTATGGTCTCCCTAGTGGTTTCCCGCATGGTTTCCCATGTGGTCTCCCCTCCTTTCTCCCGTATGCTCTCCCGTAGGTCCGCCAGAGTGGCTTCGCGTGCGGTCTCCTGTGTGGTCTTCCGTGCGGTCTCTTTTGGGGCCCCCCGTGCGGTCAGCCGTATGGTTTTCCGTAGGGACTGCCTCACGGTCTCCCGTGGGGTCTCCCACAGGTCCGCCGGCATGGTTTCTCGTTCGGTCTCCCGCGTGGTCTCCCGCAGGGCTTCCCGCGCGGTTTCCCGCAGGGTCTCCCGTGAGGCAATCCCGTATGGTCTCTTGGAATGCCTCCCGCGTGGCCTCCCGTACGGTCTCCCGTGTGGTTTCCCGTGTGCTTTCCCGTGTGGTCACCCGTGTGGCTTCACGCACTCGCGTATGGTCTCCCGTCTCCACTCTGGTTGCCCGTGTGGCTTGCCATATGTTGTCCCTTGTGGTTTCCTACATCGTCTCCCGTATGGCTTCCCGTATGTTCTCTGGTGTAATCAGTCGTACGGTCTTCCGTCTGGTCCCCTGTGTGGTCTTCCGTACGGTCTCCCGCAGGGCCTCCCGTACGGTCTCCCGCAGGAGCTCCCGCATGACGTCAGAGGTGTTTTTTTGTGTGGTCTCTCGTGCGGTCCCCCGTCGGGCTTTCCGCACGGTCTCCCGTATGGTCATCCGTACGGTCTCCCCTGGGCCGCCCGTAACGTCTACTCGTATGGCTTCTCGCATGGTCTCCCATGTGGCCGCCCGTTTGGTCTTCCGCGTTGTTTCCTTTATGGCCTTTTCTTTGTTATTTATTGTTTTTTGTTTTTTTGTTTTGGTTTCCTCTTTTCTTACATGGTCTCTCCATGTGGCCTGCCGTATGGTCGCCCGTGTGCTCTCCCGTATTGTCTCTCTTTTCTCGGGGTGTCCTGCCCCGTCTCATGCTCCCCCCGCCCCCTAGAAGAGAGAGAGAGAGAGAGAGAGAGAGAAAGAGCCACGGCGTCGGACGCTTGGGTACCCGGAGGTCCCTAGAGTTCTCCGGAGGTCCCCAGAGGTGCTCCTGGAGGCCAAGAGCTGCACCAGGTGCTCGGCGGCGAACCCAGGGGAAGAAGCAAGACGGGGCGGGCCTCTTCAGAGGGAGGAGGGCCTTGTCAGAAACCCTCGCGCCTTCTCAGAAGGTTTCGAAACCTTCCCCGAAGCCGCGCGCGGCTTCTCAGAGGCGCGGGGACTTCTGATAAGCCCAGCCGCCTTCTGAGATGGCCTATTTTCTCTCACTCCCACCCTGCGCTGGCCGAGCATACCATCGGAAACCTCTAACCTTGCTCCTCACAGCCTCAAGAGTCTTGGGCCACCAGGTTCGCCACCACGGACTACGCGCCCTTCGCCACCGACGAGCCCGCGGGCGGGCAACGAGGCTCGGAGGAGT